ACTAGGTTTTTATTTGGGTTATAGGAGTCCTTAGCATTGACTGTTTCTGCCCTTGTAAGGAATCACCACTGCTGCTGGTTTTGGAGTTTATGGATGGACTTCTAAGACATGACCTCATCCAGAAAACAAAATGTTCCAATAGAGGGACCTACAGCCAATGGTCAAACTGAAAATATTACATTTTAACATGGAGAACTCAAAGGAGGAAATACAATCACCAAAACGTTCTAACACCCAATATTTTTCATTCACTAGTAAGTAAGGAGCTGGTCCAGTCCAAAATTTGTTTTCAGGGAGAATCTAGAGTCTAGAAACCATCCTTAGGTGAAACTCCATTACTGAGAAGTAGATAACAAAAGGGATGGCTGGGCCAGAATAGTTCTACCAGAAGAGGAAACAACAAAGGATGTGACTAGTCACAGCCCCATAACTAAGAAGATATTTTCCCCTAGCATGTCACTTGAGGAAAAGCACCTTTTGATCAAATTCTACATGTTACCTGGACTGCAATAAAGTAGTGACAGCAAGGAGTGCCAATGTAAAATCTGAAGTTTTACAGAGCAATAGCTTAACTACCCAATCTGCTATTTCAAAATGACCAGACAGCCCCCACCCCCACCCCCCCAAATAAAAGAGCCATCCGTAGAATTTGATGGCTGCAGAACTATGAGTCACCCTCCAAGTGAATAGTGAATGTCTCCAACAAGGTACTCTTGAAATTAGATCTGTACCTTCTTTCTCCCTCAGTTGGAAGATGAAGGAGAGAGGAGGAGAGAAGACAGAGGGAGGGAGGAAGGGAGGAAAAAGAGGGAGGGAGAGGGAGAGGGAGAGGGAGAGGGAAAGGAAGAGGGAGAAGGAGAGGGAGAGAAGGAGAGAGAGAGAGAGAGAGAGAGAGAGAGAGAGAGAGAGAGAGAGAGAGAGAGAGAGAGAGAACCCAAGAGTAGTGAGTTGACTCATTTTACTGTCAGTCTCTGGCCCAGGATTTCAGACCTTATGTAGCAGAACTCCAGGTTGTGCCTTAAGGATCATGAGTGTGGGGAAGCCAAGAAGAAGAGTAAAAGGACTACTTTCATTCTTCTCTCTTTCAACAAGAATAATTTTCCCTTTATGTGTTTTATTTATTTGGGAAAGAAGTTTACATCTTTTTAAAAAAAAAAATAGATCCAAAAACCACTGCCCTGGAGGAAACTGCTAAAACCAAAGTGCTTAGTTCTAGCGAGAACTCTGGGAGAGAATCTGATGTAACAGCTGGATGGATGGTTGACCGTCCACAGCCGGGCCCCACCACAGGCAGGCTGGTTCTGCGCGGAATTAGCTCAACTGGAGACCAGTGTCTCTCTGGTGGTCTCAACTTCTCTGCACCAGAAAACGCATCTCTCTGAGGGAGAGCATGCGTACCCTTCCCAAGAGTTACAGCAGCCACTCGGAAGAGAACAGAAACAGGAAGAGACAACAGAGCAGTGACAACTGCAACTAGGAACAGAAAGTGGGTGGAGCAGGTCTGCCAAGCAGATATGTAAGCTGCTCTGGAGCGAATGCCTTCTGGACTCCCCTGGCACACTGGGCATGATCTCTACACTGGGCACCTGGCCAGGGGGCTGCAGAACGGATGGCAGCGGACAGAAGGTCATTGGGAAGGGAAAGGAAATGCATGTGTGGGGCAGCACAGTACAAGGTTAACCTGCTATGACCTGGTCTAAAGCAACTGAGGCTGCCCACTCCTCTCTCTGCACTGGATCACCTCACGCGGTGCTAGAAGGCGCTTGAGAAGGAAGAACCCAAGGAAGGCTGGTCACAATGTTGAATGTCAAAATGCTCACCAGAGACAGAACCACAGGGCAAATTAAGTTCCTGGGGCTTGTACTCTCCCCACACCTACAGCTGCTGACTGCCGCCACTCCCCGTGGGGAAATGTGAGAAGGAAGGGGCAGGTGGAAAGCTCTGAATGTCTACACTGTTCCTGCGCTTCTGGCCATGGTGCTAATGGCCAGGCTCAGATATCACCGCTGCCCTTCGCCAGCCTCTCCTCCTTGTTCAGCCTTAGGAGACTGAGCAATGCATGCTGTCCTCCAGGGAGCAACAAGCCTCGGCAGCACATGAAATCTGTTTTCCTTACTCCACCAGGAAGCGGAACGAGCCGCTCTACCACATGCCCTGGACCACTCAAGTGTCAGTGTGTTAAGGTATCTTTTCCTCAAACCTTCCTACCACAGACCTCCATGTTTTGGTCCAACATTGCCAGGTGTCGTGTTCTGAACTGCCTAGCTTCCTGCCCAGGGCGTCCCAGACCTACTGAGGGGCACCAGATACTCCTAACCAGACCTACTGAGGGGTACTAGATACCCCTAACCAGACCAACTGAGGGGTACTAGATATCACTAACCAGACCAACTGAGGGCTACCAGATACCCCTAACCAGACCAACTGAGGGGTACCAGGTATCCCTAACCAGACCTACTGAGGGGTCCAGATACCCCTAACCAGACCAACTGAGAGGTACCAGGTATCCCTAACCAGACCTACTGAGGGGTACCAGGTATCCCTAACCAGACCTATTGAGGGGTCCAGATACCCCTAACCAGACCTACTGAGGGGTACCAGATATCCCTAACCAGACCTACTGAGGGGTACCAGATATCCCTTCCACGTGATCCTGGTCTGCATGGCTTCATCAGTGAGCTTCACACCTATGCGCCTACCTCCCATTATCAGAGCTGGCATGGTTAGATCCAAACATGAAGAGATGGAATTCATTTAGATAAAAGATCTTAAGTGGTTGTTGCTCTCCTACATCCGAGCATCCTGAGACACTGCACCCCGGACAGGAGCCCACACTCTGGACAGATAATGCTCTACCAAGAAAAGGCTGCTTGACTCGCCTCTTCCTAGTTGACAGACCTCTTCCCCGTCTATCTTCCCCATCCAGGCTGTGCTTTAAACGTGAGGAGAGAACATTTCTCTTCCTCTCAGCCTTATGCCTGGGTGGCGGCGGGGTCCCCACGGTGAGGACCAGCAAAGAAGAGGGCAGTGGGTGGAGCCGGAGACAGCAGAGAGATGTACTCTGATGTCCAGTGTTTACATCCCAGGACTGAAAAGCTCACTGCTTTAGGGGGTGGATGGCTTCTTCCAGCTCAGGGCCCAGCCTGGCACCTCCGGTTCCCATTGTGGGACAGTTCCCATGCGGGCAGCCCCTGTCCCGCCCTATCCAAAGGCAGCTGGCAGGATGGGAAGGGGCCGAGTTGAAAGTCAAAGCCCTGTCGAGGGTTGTCTCTGTGGTACTCAGCCCAGTGCCTCTCCTGGCCTTGCCCTTAGCTTGCCCTCCCTCCTGCCCCCCCCCCGCCCCCACCTCCTCAGTGAGCCAGGGCAGCCCTACAGGCCTCTGGGGACGGGATCCACACAGCAGAGGGGAGGCTGCTGTCTCTGGGGTGACTCAGGCAGGAGCTCCCTTTGGGGTGTGTTGCTGGCAGGGCAGGGGAGGGGGGAGGAGAGGTCAGGGTGGAGTGATTCTCTCTCCAGCACCCTGGCTCTTGGCCTGTTTTCTTCACATGAAATTCTCTACATCATCCTCCCCGGCTTCAGTCCCTTCCGTCCCACCGGACCCCGCCCTATGCCCATCCCTCCCTCCTGGCCACTCAGACCATCACCTACGCGCCTCCTCCCTCTTCCCCTCCCCTGTGGTTGGTTCTTTCTGCCCCCCCCCCCAACCCTCTGGCATCTGGCTGGGCACAGCTACCATCCTCCCCCTCACTCACCCCGGACCCTTTCCTCTCAAGGGTCCCCTCCCCCCCTCCCCCATCCCCACTCCTTCGCCCAGCTCCCACCGGACTGGTGCCTGGAGGATGCATTCCTTCAGTCCCTCCGCGTCCTGCCCCCCCTCCACTGGGACCCGCGGCCCCGGGCTCTGGCCGCCTCCTGCCTCCCCATAAACCGTCCCTGCTCCCCAATTAGCCGGCGGCCGCCTCTGAGGAAGCCGAGGTGCCCACACGACGCTGACCTACATAGCCGGCCCGCCCGGGAGGGGCTTCCCCGGCCCCTCGCCCGGCCCCGCCTCCTGCCTCCCCCACTCCCCCCCGCCAGCGCCCATCACCACGCACCCAAGGAGGCGCGAGTTGCAGAGCGGGGTTAGAGGGTTAGGGGGTTAGGCGGGCTACCCCACCCCGCATTTATTTTGGGGGGGGGTCAATGTTGAGCTCTGGGAAGTGTTGGGGTTCCCATGCACCCCGCTTCTGCTTCCCCCAAATCCTGGTCCTTCCTCCTTCCTCATCCCCCTCTACCTCCCCCGCTCCCTCCCGGGTTCGCTCTCCCAGCTCCGGCCGCCGCCTTCCCAGCCCGGTCCGCCCGGTGTTGTTGTTTTGCTCCGAGGAGAACCCCCCTTCTTGCCCACGCCCCCCGCCCCGGCCTCGCTCAGGCCCCTTCCCCGGCCACGCAGGGCCCCCGCGGGTGGGGGGGCAGGACTGTTTGCACACAGCCGTTTGGGGGGGGGGTGGCCCTGGCTGCCCCAACCCTCCAGACACACAGACACAAACAAGCCACACACGCCCTGGCTGTCTCCCTCCGCCCCGGCACACACTGACACACACACTGACACACACACAGATGCTGACACACACACACACACACACACACACACACACACACACACATGCTGACACAGGGACGCAGCAGCACAGACACCAACACAGACAGACGCGCACACCCAGGCGCGCGGACACCCACACCCACACCCGGACCCGGACCCGGACCCGGGCCGCCGGGGCAGGCAGACCCCGCCCGGGGCACACGCGCGGGCACCCCGGCGGCTGTGCCAGGAGGAGGGTGCCCGCCCGGCGGCACACCCACGACCCACAGAGACACAGATGCTCAGACAGACACGGGGGCAATGCCCAGGGCTGGCGACCTGAACCCCAGGCTCCAGACAAAGCCGACAAACCCCCGGCCCCGGGGGCCGCGGGCACCCCCATCCCCACACACCCCCCCCCCGGCGCCCCGCCCGCACTCACCGTCCTGGGAGAGGTTGGCCCAGCCCGGCGCCCCGCAGCAGGCGCTCAGCAGGAGCAGGGCCAGGGCCGAGGGGGCCCCCATGGCGCCGGCGGAGGCTCCCCGCGGGGCGCGGGCGGCGGGTCCCCGGGGGCTGGCACCCACCGGGCGGGGGGACAGCGACGCCGCCGACCGGAGGGCGCCCAGGAGCCGCGGCGGCAACCCGGGGCCGAGGCTGGACGGGAGGGAGCTGGCGCTGCTGCAGTCGCGGGGATTAAATAGGACGCTCGCTCGGAGCAAACCATTCGGGCGGAGGGGGGTGGCGGGGGGCTGGGCCGGGCGCGGGGGGGGGGGGCGGGCTGCAGCGCTCCCCGCTCCCGCCGCCCCCCGCACCCCCTCCGCGCCGGCGTGGTGCCTCCCGCCCGCTCCCCGGGGAGCCCCGCGGGCCGGGCGGGCGCGGGTGTGGAGCCCGTGGAGGGAGCCGGCTCCGCCGCGGCCCCGGCGCGCACCCCTCTTAGGCTTGGGGTGGAGGCAAGGAGTTGGCATGGCCCGGGGCCAGCTGGCGGGAGCGGCCACTGCAGGCCTGGACCAGGGTGTGCCCACTCGCCCGAGGCCCTCCAGCCCCTCCCTCTTCTCTTTGGCAAGGGGAGCCCCAAGAGCCCTGGGGGTCCCCCATCAACAGTGCGCCCAGGGGCAGCATCCCGTTGGGTAGCCCGTTACATTGACCTTCTCCTAGACACTAGCACCCCCAGTTCCTAAAGGCGCCCCGTTAGCACCGGGCAACAATCAGTGGCCCCAGGCCATGTCCCTTGACAGGCATCTTTCAGCAAGCCCACAGGTCATGGGACTTCACATTTCCCTGCATCCTTGTCATGGAAATTACCCCCTCCCCCTAAGCAGTGGCTTCCCTTCCCACTCCTACCCAGCCCAGTGGCCTAGCTCAGTAGTTCCCCCTTCACCTTTCCTATGACCCCCTTTATTCCCAGTCCTTCCCTCCAATATTTTCCTGTTTTTTCTTAATCTTTCAGAGAATCCTGTTGTTTTTTTGTTTTTTGTTTTTTTTGTGAGTGAGATTCCTGAACGCATGGTTTGCTCTACAGACCCTCAGGAAGCTGCCCCTTTAAGGACCAATGTATATGTGACGAATGCAGCTCTTTAAAAAAAAAAAAAAAAAAAAAAAATATATATATATATATATATATATATATATATATATATATATATATTAATATACATATATATAAAAATTGATTTTTACAGAGAGGAAGAAAGAGAGATAGAGAGTTAGAAACATTGATGTGAGAGGAACATCAATCAGCTGCCTCCTGCACACCCCCTGCTGGGGATGTGCCCACAACCAAGGTACATGCCCTTGACCGGAATCAAACCCAGGACCTTTCAGTCCGCAGGCCGAAGCTCTATCCACTGAACCAAATCGGTTTTGGTGGAATGCAGCTTTGGGCTTTGAGGCCAGACAGTGTTTGGAAGGGAGGTGGGAAGTCTGTCCTCCCCTTGGCTCAGGAGTGCCAAGACCCCAGGGTGGTTGTTCCTGAGTGTGGATGCCTCTGGGAGGGCCTTGGTGTGTCTCAGAAAGGGATCCTTCTGAGCCAATTTGCTCAAACAGACCTTCTAAATTTTGTGATCTCTGAACCCAATAATTTTGCATGTGTACCCATTCTTTTAACATATTTGGTCCAGCCTCTTATTCCAGTACTACTGGGGTCTAAAGGGTATTAACTGATCTACCCAAGGGCATTCCTCCATTTAACAGGAGGAAACACAAGCGTTTATTAGGACACGGAACAGCACGCTCTCCATCCACAGCGTCTTCCCTCTCTCTGAGGCGATATTTTGTCCCGAGAGGAGGGATTGGGGTCCATGTCTTTCAACTCCTGGACCCATCCCCTCCTGTGCTGATGCCTGGGCTGCGGCCTGCGAGTCCTTCCTGTCTGGGCTCTTTCTCCCTCTCCGACAGGCTTCCTCGGGCCTCCATGATGGATGCAGGGACAAGGAGGTGGGAAGCACTTTGTAAACAGTAAAGCTCTCTGTAAATGCTAGCCACTGATGGAGAGGCCGAGAGAGAATACTCTCCAGGGGCAGCCTGCGGGATGGCAGGTGCTGCCCCGGTTCCCCCCTCGCTGCTCCTAGAGCTGAGCCGTGGTTTCTGGGAGAAGCTCTCTGCCTGCCTTCTGGACTTTCCCTGGGAGGCTGAGCAATGGGTAAAAACCCCTGGCGGCACTGTGTCTGACCACCTGGGGCCACCTGCCTTGGCACCTGCCAGTCCTCCTCCCTGGATCCTCTGGCCCCTTGAAATCTCTGAGAAGCAGAGATGGAGGGAGTAGTGTGATTGAGGGATGTAAAGACCTGGGTGTAAGAGAGAGGAGAGGATGGTCCATGGGGTGAAGGAGGGGAAATCATAGGAAAATGGGACTATCTTAAAGAGGTGAGACCACGTTGTCAGGGAAAAGCAAGGAGCAGGTATGTTTTCAAAAAGAGAATGGGACTTCAAAGGGGAAGGACCAGGCTATCCTAGTTAAAGGATCTTGATGGGTAAAGGGTATTGCCTTTGGAGCTAGAAGAAACCTTAGAGATCATGTAAGTGGGTTGAAGAGAGAACAGGTTAGTGTGGGCGTGGGGGGTGAGGGAGTGAGACTGGGGACCAATGGGATGTGGGTGGCAGGATGTGGGATTAGATTCCAAGCACCTCTGACTAACGGTCTTCTGCTTCTGCTGCTCTGCAGTGGCCTCCCTCTGCCTGTTCCCTCTTAATTCCTCCTCCTGCGGCTCTGCTGGTCCAGCCCTGCCCTGTACTGGAACCGCCTGGGAGGAGAACCAAGTGTGGGTGGGGAGGAGGAGCGTTGTTTTGGAGAGAGAGTATTAAGCACAAGCAAATGAGACTCTGGAATGCTCTTTTCCTCCTGGCTCCCTCTCCCTTTTCTGCATCATCAGCATCAGTCTGGCAGCGCGTTAGGCCCTGGGAATTGTAAGCAGTCGTTGGCTTTTAGAATCACAGAATAAAAGAGTATGCGAGTTGTAAGAGACCTTTAAGATTACCTAATTAATGTCCCTTGTTGAACAGATGACGAAAAGGAAGCTCGGAGACCCTGGGTCACTTCCAGTGCTCTAGGAGCTGCACAGTGAAGGGTTACCAGCACGGGGAAGGGGAGATATACCCCACCCTTGGAGGCAAGAGGAATAAGTAGAAACAATCCCAATCTGTAGAGTTTGTCCCTCCCTCCCGCCTCGCTCAGAGCGAGAGGGTAGTTTCTCCTGCAGATGTGGGTGGCTACACCGGCATAACTCCTTATCTGTGACCATTCTTGTGCCTTCAGCATCTTACAGGTGCCCTATTCAGGGACTCCAGGAATGGGGCTTTACAAAGAAGACTGGCCTACAAGTAGAAGTAGGTAAAGTAGAAGTATCCACATTGGATTGTGATCTCTACAGTTGCCTACCACTTGAGAATGCTGTGGTTACAATATGTGTTTCCCGGTGATTTGCACAAAGTCTGGAGGAGGTGGTCGGTGGGGTTAAAGACCTGGTAGCCACAGTGAACATGGGGGGTTGGGAGGAGAGAAGGGGAGTGGAGGGAATGCAGGTTTTGGCTCCTGGGTGCCCCGTCCACTCAGCAATAGCCTGGGTCACTGGGGGCGTGGAATGTGCAGCTGGCACCAGTGCCGGGCTGGACACAGCTGTGTGGGCCCCGGGCATTCAGCTCCCCACGCGGCCGCTGTGGAAGGAGAGAGAGGACCCAGCCTGAGGGGGGTGAATACTGCATGTTCTTCGGGGGTGGGGGCAGCACCTGGAGGGGGGAAACAACTCAGCAACCTGGCTCAGTCCTGCTTCACACGCTAACCCTTCCCTGTGGGATTTGTTCTTTACCAGAAAATTCTACATGGATTTTTCCACTTTAATTTTCCACCCAACTAAACCAGTGCTCCCGATTCCACTTCTTACTTCCGCTATCCAGTTTTAATGAACCCCGTCCTTAATGGTAAGCTCTGTATGGGTTTTCATTCTAACCGTCATTGAGTTCTAATTTCAGTTTTAGCCTTCATCTATCAGGGACTCCAACCAACTAATCCTGATACCAGACCCAAACTCATTGTCAATTTTAACCAGTATCTTAATTCTAACCTGTTACAAACCAGCAACCTGGGCGGCGACTTGCACATAATAAAAAGGATCACAGGTAGCATTGATTGAGAGCCCACTGTGTGCCGACTTTGCCCTGGGAACTTTACATGGGCACGATCTCATTCAGGTACCTGAAAGCATCCTAATGCGGTTGGCACTATTAGCTGCCTTACAACTACGAGGAAACAAGGTTTAACTAGATTGTGCAATTTGTAAATACTAAATTCAAATCCCCTGTTTAATTTCTGCTTGACTAGAAAGCTGGTACTCATTCCTTTTCCCACCAACAAATACTTTTTTCAAAATCCTAATTCTGACTGGAGTGATTTCTAACATACTGAGTTTCTCCAAAGTATGTTATTAGATTGTATCAACTAACTAGTAGTACAAAGTAGAAATCAACCAACCAATCAACCAACCTAACGAACACAAAGCCCAAATTTCTCTGCCCAGAAACCCCATTGACACTTAAAAACATTAAAATAATCTATAATAATAAAAGTATAATATGCTAATTAGACCAGACAGCCGAACAACCTTCCAGACATCCTTCTGGACAACCTTCCGGATGAAGCCAGGGCTACAAGGGCCGAGGCAAGCCACCACAGTTGCGAGGGCCGGCCCTTGCACAAATTTTGTGCACCAGGCCTCTAGTGTATTTATAAAGTTAAAACAATCAAACTAGAAAGAAGCAAAGTGAAAGTAAAAGCCTCCTTCTCCTTCCCAGGCTGGCCACTGGGCACACCCAGGGGCATCATGGGAGTTGGTTGTGCAGCACACTAGCCCCGCCTCCCATGGCACCAGAAGGCGGGGAAAGTCAAGGTAAACACCAGTGGAACCACCTATGTAGGTACAAGACTTAGACATGAAGATCACCGGACAATTTGAATTTACGATTAGCAATGACTGTTCAGGGCCAAGGTTCTATATACTAAGCTCTTCAATGTATTATGCCTTTTAATATTCCC